TTGTGCCATTAAAGTTGCGTGACGAAGTGAAATTTGCCTCAAAGACTCGCGGGACTGTGTATGTATGTGCTGTGCATGTAACTGGCATTTATAGGAAACGACCCAAAAGTCCTGAACCTTGCTCTCTCGCTCTCTGTCGCTGTCCCTGTCCCTGTCGCTGTCGCTGTTGCTGCTCTTTGCCTCATCATGTGGCGCATTTTGAGCTCAAGTGCCGGCGGCGCCCTGAAGTATGCCTTGAAATTGCTTTGATGTGGATGCGATATTTTGTTGTCACAATAAGCAGACACATCCATACATATATGAACATATCCTTCGTAGCATATAACGCCCCCGCCCCCCCACGACTCCCCAGTGGGGGGCTGGTGGGCTGATGGGCTGGCGCAGACAGGAACTGAAATGTCAACGAATATTAAGTGCCCTGTGCCCTGTGCCCTCTCCGCCCCGTCATGAAGCATTGACCGGAAGGGAGCCACATTTCAGGAGAGACCCCGCTGCCAGATGGAAGTTTCGAATTTGAAAATGTCAAGAAAGAAGTAAGAATATGGACAGCCCAGACACGACACCAGGGATATGTTGGAAACTAAAAATTGCTTGGGAGCGAAATGGGTGGAGATTGAGTTGAAACTGAGAACTGGAGGTCTCGGAAGCATCAAAAAAACTAGGGGTGCTCTTTAACTGATAATAAATGAGGTTATATTAAGGGGTTTCTAAAGATATTCACGGTGATATAACGAGTATTTTCCACCCAACAAGATATTAAAGATTAACCGAAAAGGAGACAGAGTCGGGGAGAGAGAGGACATTAAAGAGGGAGAAGGAATAAGAGGTAGAGCGCAAAAGGAAGGTTCTACTGCGTTACCGACAGGCGAAGAGCGAGAGAGAAAGGAAGAGATTTACCGCGTTATGCGGTAGCGCCCCTCAGTCGGTATAGTCATGCCTTTCTGGCTGGTATTCTCGTCAGGGTTTTGTGTCAACGAAGACGGAGAGTGGCCTAGAAGGAGGGTTGAAATTTATGCCAAAAGTTAGATAAAAGATACAAAGAGAAATTATTGAAAAATCGCGAAAGAAGCCGCCGGCATAGTGCCATTAATGCAATTCTGTAGAGACTTTAATCAATGCCACAGATACAATTTGCTCTCCCAGTTTCACTTTGCTTTTGTGACCAGGGGAGTGGTGCAAGGGGCAAGGGGCAGGGGGGGATAGTGCTTTGTGCGGGAATTGCATCATAATTGGATTTTTATTTGCTCGCTTTGTATGCTGGCCGCTCTTGTGCGTATAAACACTTTGCATATCATAACCAATATGCATGCAAACATACATATGTGCGTGTGTGTGTGTGTTTGTGTGTGGTGGGACACTTTTTCAGGGGCAGAGATAGAAACAACAGCAACCGCAACAGGGACAACCACAATGGCACTGCACTTGGGCCCAGTTCCAGTTCCAGATCCCGGACCCGGTCCTGGCCTTGTCTCGTTATTTATTTCTCAACCATTATTTCTTGGAAATCTTTTTGCCATGCAGAGTTCTGTTCTGTTCTGGCACTTAACCCCATTTCAATAGAATAGTTAGAGGGAGGGAGGGATGTGCTGTGTGCTGTGTGGGAGGTCAAGTGAGGTTCTATTGTGTGTGTGTGTGTGTAGGGCCTCTCTGTGGCTATGACAATGACCAACCCAACCCCCCCCCCATGGTATGGACATGGGGCATACATAATAATTAGGTCGCTTCAAGTACAAGTAAAAGCGCTTGTTTAAGGTCTACCAACTGTTGAATTTCGACTTCACAGTGCCGTGCCCTTCCTTAATGAAGTCATTTTTTGTTGGTACCGCACAGGTGTCCCATTTCCCCATTTCTGAACTGTTGACGTAATTTGATAGCCCCCCCCGCTCCATCCCCAAACAACAACAGCAGTTGGTCCTTCATTCTGGCCGTGTCATATGGTCATATCTCTCAAGGTTGCCGGGTTCTGTGCCTCCAAAGATGCTTTTGTCATTTGATATGCCAGCAGAGATACAGATACTTGGAGAGAGCCAAAAGCTTACATTTATAGGGAGTTTGTGGGGCGGTTTCCATTGGCAATTAGTTCTGGGAATACTGAATCGGCATGGATATGAAATTCCAAAGTTTCCAAGCAAATAACTTGCCCTAAAGAATGTTCTGTGCACCGTGGGTGGTGCTGTACGTGATGGGCGACCCGTCGGGCGGGCCACCTGCAGAGCTGCACTAAAAATGACATTAAAATGGGAGTCATATATGCCAGCACCGAGCCACCCACCGAGCCACCGATGAAGCCATAATCATTTTGATGGCAGTCCTTGGCAGGCTCCAGTCTGGGGCTCTGCTGCGGTGAGCTTTTCGCTGGTGGCGGCAGGGAGGGAGGCCAGAAATTAGTTGGGTTTAATCCCATGAATGCGTTGCACGGCTGCTGATGATGATCATGACGATGATGATAATGGCTGGCATAATAGTAGGTTATGGCCACGATGCGTGGATGGGAAGCCCGGACCGAAACTGAAACCAAATTACACTCGCACCCAGGAATTTTCATTAGGAAATGGAGACAAGGGAATGTTAGGGGAAATTCTATCGGAAACAGACGGCTGCAGTTACTGCAAAATATTTTCAAATGAATTCCAAGTTCCTGCAGTTCCATATCTAATACAAATATTTATTATAAATGTACACTCTGCTCTTTTCAAATGTATATATTGCCGTGTGCGCATCCTTAAAGCAGAACTTCTGATTAGAACTCTCTTCGGGAATGCAGATACACAGATATATCTGCAATCACCAAAGGAAACCTGCCACACAGAGAGAGTTCTCTATGTCTCTAGATATATACATATATATGCATATCCCTTAAGTGTCCTTTACATCTATAGATGGTGCACCGGTACCTCCGCTGGCTCCGGGCTCTCCGGCTGCTGCGGAAATTGTGAGGAAATGAAAATGGTTTGGTTGAACTTTTTCTTACATTTTTTCCCCCCATCATTTTGTACACTTTTTTCCACATTTTCTTTCTTTAGCTTTTTCTTTCCCGTCCTTGACGGGAAGCAGGGGCGTAGAGGGGGGCATTCAGACAGACCAGACTCTCATTACGTGAGAGGCAAGGCGACTATTTATAGCCGTTTGTGCAGTGGCGTTTGCGTTGCGTTGCATTGCCGAGCATTGCGTTGAGTGAACCACCTTGACCCACTCTAATTGCACGTCTAAATGGCAGCCAGACAATGCCCAGAGCTATGACTACTCGACCGGTGACCAATCAGAGGCAGTGGCAGAGTGGCAGAGTGGCACAGAGCAAAAAGAGGCAACCGAACCGCTTCTTACGGCCACCGATACGGTGCCAGAGAGCCAGGAAGACCTGCCAGAGCTTTATATTAGTTTTAAATATTTATTTATTCCGCCAGACCTTGGGCTGTGGCCCAAAGTTGAATATTAATGAAGTTAATTGAAAAACTTTGCACACAACAACAATGTAACAATATCGCGGAGCCGTACACCCATCCTTTCTGCAGCCACGAAGAAACCACGGCTCTCCGCGGCAGAAATTAGTTTACAAATTACGACAAATAAAATGTTTGCGGCCAATTGTTGAGGTAGAAGCGACAGTCGTGTAGGAGCGGAGATCGAACCCCAGTGCCCCCTGGGGGCCAGGGCTCAATACGCAATTTACATAATTACGCATACTTGCAGGCAACTTATAAATATTTATGCTGTTTCTTCGAGAAATTAAGTTCTAAGTGAAAAATGAATAACAAAAAGGCACCGGAATATTAATTCTGTGATTTTGTGCCATCTTTTGGCCACTGCTAACAACAAATATATATTTTCCTAGAAGATTAGCTTTAAACTGGCCAAAAAAATTCATAAAATAAACCATTTAGGGATTTAAATTACCATTATGGGTGATATAATATATGATAGATGGATTGAGAATAGCTCTAACGAGGGATTGGTCGGGTTTTGGACTACTCATTGTCGGGTTTTCATTCATATTCTTTTGTTTCCCTTTGCTCTATGCCAAATATTCTCCGGGACAGATATTTCCCACTCACTCGCTCGCTTTCAGCGAGACTCTCTGTACACACGCTCTCGCGAGAGCGAATACAGCGAAAGCATAGGCAAACGGCAAGAGTAACGGACGGCCCACGAGAGGCACAGTGAGCAGGGAGAACAGGGAATGATTCAGATGTGTTACAACTCCACACGTATGTACATATTTACGTGTGTTTAGGTGTGCAGGTGATATCCATATCTGCTCTGTATGGGGCTCCAGCAATGACCCCGTGTACCCTTTGGCACCCCCCTCCAGCCACTCATTTACTGGGAAACCAAGCGAATTCGAATTTCTATACCAAAAAAAGAAAAAAAAAAAACACAGAATAAAAGTGAATTACTCGTAAATTATAGTGGTTGCAACTTGCTTTTTTGAGGGGCCCCGTGCAGCGACAAAAATTTAACATGAATCTCACGTCTGTCGCTTTTCGACGAACGACGAACAAGACCAAAATCTGAAATTGTGCAATGTTGAATCACGAGCTGACGTGGAGCGAAGGTGGCTATGGGGCTATGGGGCGATGATGGGTAATGGCTGATGTCTGTTGTCTGGGGATGGTGTGGGGCTGGTGGGGAGCAGAGGTGCACAGGGCCCACGGCTGGGGGGCAATTTCCATCTAAATGACCGACAGACATCAGCGGGTTGACCTTACCCCCCGCGCCCGGATAGCCTCCACGAGTTTTCGGGGGGTGTTTGATTGCAGTTCGTTGGCGTTGTCGTTGCAGGTGGCAGGTGGCAGGAGAAGTGGCAGAGTGGAGGGACCACAATCTCTGGGCATATTGTAATCATCGCTCCACACACGATGGATTACCGAAAAGCCCTGCTCAGCATTTACTGTAGTTGGGGGGAGTGCTCGGCCTTCCACCGAACAGAAACCGAATCTATATAAACCGAATCTTATAAATTCCAAACATTAATTGTATTTCTTGTGCTCTCGCTCCCACAGAGACAACACAAATATGTCGAGCGATTCGAGTCGGCGTATCCAGGTGCCCGAGGAGCTGAAGGAGGTCCTCTTGCAGTTCTCCATTGCGTATCTGGTGGAGCAGCCCCCGGATGTGATCGACTATGCCGCCGACTATTTCAATAAGCTGCAGGCCAATCGTCCGGCCCCAGTCAACCAGGATCACAGTCAGGATGATCAGCAGAGCATCAACTCCCAGGATGGAGAAGGTGAGTGGGGCCCTTCGATGGCGTGTCCTGTCATCCTTTTCTTTGCGTGTGCGTCGGCATTCCTTTGGGGGGGGCTTGCAACATTCTTTCTAGGTTTATTTTTAGTTTCCATTTCTCCGTCATGCAATTTGTTGGCTGACGTCAGCAATGTCAGTTTCAGTCGATGTTTTGCAAAAATCACCCCCCAGGAAAATGCGAATAAAAACCCTGACCAACTCCGACAATAATTTCATATTAGGAACATGATTTATGGGGTCTTCTTCTTCGGCATCACAAGAAATGTAAAAGTTTTTTCGTCTCCGTTCAGTGTACACTTTGGTGCCGTGTATCTTGTATCTCTTGATGGTTCAGCACGTGTTCGGTATACGGATAATTAGGCGCAACCTCATCTGGTCATAAATCTTTGGCCACCACTGTAGCCCGTATGGTTTAGCTTGAAAACAAATTAAATAATGATGCTTTGGCAGAGTTCAATTTGTTCCTGTCTCTGCCTCTCTCTCTCAGAGGCTTTTGTTCACAGCTTCCTTTTGCGTGTTTATCTTCCGGTTAATCAAACACGCAGCCCTCGAGGGATTGCAGCAGCAGCACCACCACGAGGATGGGATGTCAAGTGGATCGAGGGGAGGTGGCAGTGGCAGACAGGAGGAGTGGCAGGAGTGGCAATGGCGGCTGCTGTTCCTGCCATTAAAAATCTATTAATTGCGCACACAGCCGCCGCCCCTAAAGAGCAGAGCCAACAGCATGGATGCAGCTCTCATTCCACAGATATACATACATATATATATGGCTACACATACGTGTGTATACGTATACGTATCCTAGTTTTGATATTCCATTGGAGCTCGCTCCGGGATGGCAGGAGGAGTTGGGGGAGGGCTTTCGTCTCACTATTAAACCGTCGACGTGCCCGTGGCCCAGGCCAAGGGCTCTTCTCGTGCTCACTGAAGCCCTCAATATCTCTACGAGCTCTGCCTCAACTGGAGCGAAATTGACACGCAAATAGATTTCAATGGCTATGCCGTTACCTGCCCCTGCCTCCTCCCTGCGGTCCCCTGCATCCGTAATCTATTTTCCGCTTCCCCTGCTGGAGCGCTCCATATCGATTTGTGTCTGTATTTTTACGCTTTGATGTCTATTTGGGGATCAAGCTTTTTGTTTAAATTTTGTAGCTTTAAAGACGGCGGGGGAGACCCAAACAAATGTGCCCCCAATAAAGGCAGCAGAGGTGTGTCTTTCTGTGTGTGTGTACTGCCAGGAAAGGTGTGCCTGAGAGGTGAGACCATGAGCTCGGACCATGCAACATTTTATTAACACTCACTACAGGTGGAGCAGCACCACCACCAGCACAAGCACCAAAGGGACTCCACCATAGACAGGAGCCTGGGATAAGCTTCTGGGAGTGGAGGGTTCTGGAGCCTGAGCGCGACCATTGAAGCATACTGATGAACAGCTCAGCCAGGGGCCTCAAACCACGCTTCATTGGGCGCACAGGGCGCATGACATGCCCCTGGTATGATGGCCAGGGGGGCGACGGTTAACGGGGGGTGACGGGGTGGTTGGGGGGCATTCATTTCAACATTATTGACATGCCAGCAGCGTTTTGTGGAAGGTCCCTGGGTATATACGTATCTCTGGCCAAAACCTAAACGGAAATTGCTGTGCCTCTCTCGCTGTCTCTCTCCCTCTCTCTCTAGGTGTCTCTCTCTCTCTCTCTCTCTGGAGTGGTGTGGACCTCCTGTTGCGCTTAATATTAATCTGTATGTTTGCCATATGAAAAGCCAGAGAGAGAAAATGCCCATGTTAATCAAGACAAAGAGTGTGGCTGTGGCTGCGGCTGCTATTTATATTCCGAAACGACAAAACAGAGAAGGACAGGACAGAGGAGGCAGTTCCATAGATATGGACATAGAAATATGTATAAATAGATGAAAGGGGGGAGGAAACCACTTGAGTGGCGTGCTCTGTGTTGCCTACTTGCAGGCACTATTTCCGCTTTGGTTTGACGGCCCGTTTGCCTGTCATCATGCCACACAGTGGCTTCAGTGGCGGCTCCAGAGGTGGCACCGATGCTGCGGCTCTTGTGCCACAAACGGCACTGCCGCAGTCCATCAGTCACTCGGCAAACGTCAACAGGATAGCACCATACACACTCCGAACAACTGTCATTCAGCACCGTTGGTAGTAGTACCGTTGGTCATTCATTCGGTTATACCGTCAGATGAATGCTGTCATCGTTTGAGTTTGAGTTCTCGTACTCGTACTCGTACTCGTCCTTGTTCTTGTCCTTGTGCCTGTTGCTGTCCTTCCAGAGTTGTCGCTGTCGTTCGGTCGGTCGGTTGGTCGGTCGGTCGGTCGGGTGTCCTCTCATTTGACTAATGAAATTAATGCAACCCGTCTCTTTTTTACTTTCCATTCTTAATTAAATTCCTCCAACTTGCCCAACAAGTGTGTGTGTGTGTGTGCGGAAATGGGGTGTGTGGTTGATGGGAAACTTACGTAATTGAAGTACTTTCATCAGTGCTTCCATTATCTAATTATATTTAAAGTTTGCGCGTGTGTGCGTTCGGGCAGATTAAAAAGAGAACTTTATAAAGGATGGATTTATTCCACTTCCACCAACAAACAGCAAAACACCTTTTCAATCCTTCAATCCCAGCAAACCTTGCATTCATTTTGTTTTTCCATTCTCGGGCTCGATTCTGAAAGAATGAATCTGGAAGCAATGGAAGAGGTGGGCTCTTTTCTACCCTGTCCTTAGTCCAACCACAAAATTGTTGAGCATTAAATCAAATCAAAATTCCTAAAACATCCACAACTATGGACTGAAGAGATGTCCAACCGAAGAGTGTTGCCTGACTGTCAGAGCTCTGCAATTGTCTTGGTGCTTGATGTCTGATGCCTGATGCCCGCACAATCCGGACAGACAAGACGCCACTCATGGTTTCCGTCTCCTCCTGCTCTAGCCCCTTACCCACCAGCACTCCGTCATTCCTGGTTTACCCGTACAATTTTTGTGGCTCAGTCGCTCGCACTCTGTGCGTGTCTGTCTGTGTAATTGCATCATTAAACCGACACTCCAGTTGGCAACTTGACACAAGAACGAGACCGAGACCGAGAACGAGACCAAGAACGACAACCGGATTGACGCTGAAGAGCTAAAGGATGGCAGTCAGTGGAAATCTGTAACTGAAATCGAATCAAGAGACAGAGAGACTCGAGAGCGCAGTGACTGACTTGTTGAAGGCTCAACCGCCTCCGTCGTCGTCGTCGCCGTCGCCGTCGCCGAAACATTCAAGTGCATAAATATTTATTACGCATTCGCCGCGTGTGACGGGAAAGCTAAAATAGTAGAACACACCGTGCATCTACTGCTCGGAAAACAGTCACCTTGGGCCCGCAAGCTGCACACACACATTATGTGCCTATATGTACCTCAAACAATATGTGTATATACAGATAGATACGTAGATAGATGTATATATTTTTTGTTACCTTTTTTTTATATCATAGTTATACAATATTTAAACGTGTTCATGCCTAACTGGTTTCTGTTTCTGTGTGACTGACTGACTCGTCTCGTCGTTACAAGTGATTTGAAATCGTATCTAAATTCAGAGACACGCACAGCCCCAAGCAACAAAACTGCAATTGAAAATGTCTACTCAGGTGTCTGGCAATTTATTGGCTGGTAAGCAATGGCAAAACCCCCAATTTGGTTCACCGACAAAACAAAAAAAACTCAACAAAAAACAAGCCCCAAGCGGACAGAGACACTTTTGGTGTTGTGTTGTGTTGTGCTGTGTTGCTGCTGCGGCTCTACAGATCGCATTCATACTATATGTACGAGTACGAGTACGAGGACGAGTACTCTTATGTATATATAATTACTTGCACAGCAGTTTGGCCTAGTGGCCAGCTGGCTCTGTCTCTGGCCCTTCTAAGAAAAGGGAGAGAGAGCTACGACTGCAACTGAATGTTTGACAAGAATTCTTGTTTGCCTGGAAATCCCCAGATAGTAGAGGTCTATCCAGCATTTATGCAGTTTTCTGTCCCTCTCTGGCCTGGAAATACGAAACACAATGAGTGCAATTAGAATTCCTGGAACTGGCACTGGCACTGGCACTGGCACAAGCAACCAAATACCATTTCCGAATCTGATGTTTGCTCTGTGAAATGTGAGGTCTTCCCCACAGCCACAGCCACTGCCAGTTTCATTTGAAATTTTAATTATGGACCCAACTGGAGCTGGAGCAGCACATTCCATGTCCATGTCCATGTCCATGTCCATGTCCATGTCCATGTCCATGTCCATGCCCATGCCCATTTGGCCCATTGAGAGGCTGTCTATCTTTGCCACTAATTGGGGCAGCCATTATCATGGGATTGATTGAACTTTGGTACTCATTGATGCTGTTTAGTCGACTAATATGCGATTATTTCTGAATTGAATTTTACAGAGCCACCCGTTATGCAAAACTCACGCCGCAAATCAGTCTTCGCCGAGGCCTACGATCCGGAGGCGGATGATGATGATGAGGGAGCCACTGCCATATTCCCAAAAACAGATGAACAGCGTTCCCGTCTGGTCGAGTCGGTGAAAAATGTTCTCCTCTTCCGTTCGCTCGAAAAGGAACAGGTTCGTCGACTGCCGCACATAAATCATAATCCCCCGCGCAGAGCCACGGATGCTTAACCCGAATAAGTGTCTGCCTGCGGTTTCCCTTTGCGTGGGGATTATGCCACCCACAGACCCACTCTGTCTGCCTCTCACTAACAGCAAACTTGCTTGTGCGTCCTTCCTGTCTTTCAGATGAACCAAGTCTTGGATGCGATGTTCGAGAGGAAGGTTCAGCCGGGCGATTATATCATACGCCAGGGCGACGATGGCGATAACTTTTATGTTATTGAATCGTAAGTAAAACAAAACAAAAACCGAACCGAACCGAACAAATTTCCCATCTATCCTCATCAATGATGTATGTGTGTGTGGCAGTCATCATATTTAATTCAGGACTAAAGTTAAACAGAGATAAATGTAATCACAAAATCCCCCAAGCAATCCTCTATAGATGTGGGCTGTGTTTATACAGAAAGTAATCCTAAAGATACTTGAATCAGAAGAGGGAAGTGTAGAGATTCGATATACATACTTGAATACCATAGAAACAACATATTCTGAGAAAGACTGCAATACTTTAGCTATACGGAAAGATGAATACTAGCCATCTGTGAGATATATTTTACTCTTGTGAAGGCTTCGAGAAATAGCTAAATTGTTTGGCAATAGATGTTAGATGATATATCTATAAATTTAAACCTATCAAATGAGTTTCATTTACGCTGAAATGAAGCGTTCGTAGAATGAAAATGTACGAGACTCCCACTATTTCCCCCAATTTCCCGCCCTCTAAGCCAGCTATCATACACACTTAATTAATTTCTATTTGAATTGCAATTTGAATCGGCGTTCGATATGGATATGCCATTAATAGGCATTTGCATATTGATGAGTACTTAGTCACACACAGACGGACACGCACACGCACACGCACACAGCCAGAGACAGAGACAGAGACGTAGAAATTATAAATTGCATTAAATTCAAATGAATTTTTGCCCCTCAACCCGTTACTATATCTCCGCAGGGGCATCTACAAAGTCTATATTAATGACAAGCACATTAACACCTATAATCACACTGGACTTTTCGGCGAATTAGCGCTGCTCTACAATATGCCCAGGTACGTGTTTGTCTGTTTGTACCTCTGATTATGGCAAATTTTCCTCGCTGTCTGGACGACATTTATAATGTGCTAATACGCGTGTCTATCTTTAGCTTTTTTTAATATTGATTTTACATTTTTTAGAGCGGCCACCGTGCAGGCGGAAACCAATGGTCTGCTCTGGGCCATGGACCGTCAGACCTTCCGACGCATTCTCCTGAAGTCCGCCTTCAAGAAGCGAAAAATGTATGAGGAGTTGTTGAACAACGTGCCCATGCTCAAGGCCTTGCAGGTGAGTGGTTGAGAGTTGAGGTTCCTTCGAACAGATACACGTATAACCATTGTGGTATCCGCAGAACTATGAACGCATGAATCTGGCTGATGCTTTGATCACAAAGAGCTTCGAGTCCGGCGAACGGATCATCAAGCAGGGTATGAATTATGGTGTCGGCTGCATTGGCTTTTCTCATGCACTCTTTTCCACTCCTTAGGTGACGCTGCCGACGGCATGTACTTCATTGAGGAGGGCACCGTGTCCGTGCGCATGGATCAAGACGATGCCGAGGTGGAGATATCGCAGCTGGGCAAGGGCCAGTACTTTGGTGAACTGGCGCTGGTGACACATCGGCCACGTGCCGCTTCCGTTTACGCCACGGGTGGCCATGTCCGGCTTGCATGTGAGTGTTGCCGCGTGCGCGGACGCCGCTTAAAGTTGATCCCCCAGCTACTCCTCATCCTGCCTTGGCTAATCGTTAATGCTTTCGTTTGTTTGTTCTTTGTTTTCCTGTCGAAATCGCCTCGCCTTATGCCCGTGTTGTGCGTGTGTGTGTGTGTTTCGTAGCTTTGGATGTAGTTTGCTTTGAGCGCCTCATGGGCAACTGCAATCGGTTGCTCCAGCGTGGCATTAGCGACTATCGCTACCTGGAAGAGGATCTGCGGGACTACTTTGACAATCTGCAGCTCAATTAGGCAGTAGTTTTACCTGTAGCCTTGACCGTAGCGTAGACTGCTTTTAGTGCACCATCATTATATTATGTTTTAATTTAATCTGAAATCTCCGTCCAGTCCTTGACACGGAGGCCTTTGAACGCATCATGGGCTTCCTCACCGACGTGCTCAAGCGTAACATTGTGATCTATGAGCAGATGTTCACCGAAATGGCCCGCCGCAACACCAATCTATAAACGATTGGCTCCGTTGGGCTCAGTTCAGTTCAGTTCAGTGAAGAGTAATCCTAATCCAAATTTATTGTCTAGCTTATCGATTTACAAGAATTATTAAAAATTTCCCAGTTCAGTTCATATCGAATCGTTTTCATTTCAAACGCACACAAACACGCGCATTTTGCTTGATTTATCCACACCACACCGCACCACCCAACCCAACGCACTTTTCCATACAGAGCACAAGGGCATCATGTCAGTGTCCGATGCTGAAACAGATCCCAAATGATTATCGGATCGGTAAGAGACGGATATACGAGTATAGATAGAAGGGGCCTGTGGTGTTGAAGGGTACACGATATCCGATTTGGAGCGGGTTCTGTTTTAACACGTTCAAAATTAAGCACTCTCACTAATACCTCCTCAGCCCCCCCCCCCCCCCCCCCCTCCAGCATGCTCTAAGTGTTTACCCATTGTGCCATGATCCGACAATCTCTAACTAATGTGTCCATCTTTTTAACCATTTGCATTTAGTCCTGGATGTCAGGGCATTCGAGCGTTTGCTGGGACCGTGCATGGACATCATGAAGCGCAACATTGATGACTACGAGTCACAGCTGGTGAAGATATTTGGTAGCAAAAACAATATCACCGATACACGATAAAAAGTCTGAACCACCAATAAAGCAATCAAACAACCAGCCACCATTACCAACTATAGCTACGACTACAACAACAACAACAGCAACAACAACAACAACAACAAAACCTACGAAGAACAACAATTGCAGGCTTCTTAGAATTTTAATTAGGATTTCAATTGAAAACAAATATGAGCAATACCACTCCACAACACACCACAGGAACAGACAAGAAACAAGCAAGAAAAACCAATCAACAAACCACAAACAAAGCACAAATACCAAACAAACACCCACACGCAAGGACACAAAAATCATTAAATCTTAATCGTGAATATTTAATTGATAATTGAAATTAATCTATAATAATATGCTAAAGATAAAGATAAAGATACAAGTCAATGATGATGATGATGATGATGATGGATACGATGTTGATCATGTTGAGATGCTTTGCAATGTTTCAAGATTATGAAATGAGATATCAAACAAGTTAAGAATTGTATTGTATGTACGAGTATTTAGCAATTGTAATTTGTAATGTAATTTGTATTCAATTGAGCGTTAAACGGGCTCGGATTCAAGCCACCACAAGAGAGGACAGCATTAGCAAACGATTGGCGGCTGTTCTACGGAAGCAATCTACTGTTAAATCTACTTATTTAAGTTTTGTTTATTCATATATTTTTATTTGTTATCCATTGATTTATACATTATTTAGTCATAGCGCACATATTCTTTCCTTGGCTGCTAACTAATTGATAAGCGAAAAGCAAATATATATCAACTATAAGAGCAAATTGAACACACACACATCAAGCAACAAGTTTATATCAGCAGATCGAATGAGTATAAATGCTAAACACATATATGTACTGCATAGTATGTATAGAGGAGAATGAAAATCTAACTTATTTAACTTTGAAAAATCAATCAATGTATGTACTAGTCTATACGTCGAGCAGCTGAGTGTTTCAGACCCCGAGAGGAGCAAAATATAGAGCAACTGAGTAAAACTCCCAATCAACTGAACGGAAAAAACGCAGTAATGTTTGATTTATTCATTTGCAAGCCACTACTACTACTCCTTCTATACTACCACTACCATTCGCAAGCGATCTCACTATAACGAATGAGGAGAGAATGTAACTGTTCTCGGAGAGAAAACCAAAATTAAACAGGCGTATAATGCTACAGGCACAATCAATATGTTGCATGGGATCAACTTAGAAAACTTTGAGAAAAACTAGCGAAACAAATACGAAATTTAGCAGAGTGAGAGATACAGATCGAGCGAGAGAGAGAGAGAGAGTGAAATGCTGTGTGCTAAAACTGCTTCAAATTTCGTTTCCAGTATGTTCGGGCTGTAGAGAGTGTAGAGAGCAAAAACAAAGCAATATAATATCGAGGGCCTAGCTAATGTGTACTTAGAGTGCATTTCTGTAATTCGTTCTGTTTTGTGTTTGCTGTTCACTACCTGTATTACTAACCTATGCCTACACCTATACCTATAACTCTATATGTATAACTGAATGAGCTTAAACTATGGTAAACCCTACGCCCCACACCCTAACCGACTCCAACTACTTATGTTCTTTACACGAAATGAATGTAACCTCATTGTTTGGAACAAAATGCGTAACTAAAACAAATCGTAGACGGATAATCAGTAACACATATACACTTAACAGCTGTATGTGTATAGGTATACATACATATATAGTATATAGAAATTAACAAATTAAACTGGCATACCAGCAGTCGACAGGTGTTCAAAGCTAAAAGAAACTACATATAATAGAAACGGAAGAAATATCAAATTTGCTACAAATCGTTCAAATTGTCAGCAGATAGTAATAAATTATATAATATATATATATACATAAATATAAATATAAACGAGTATGTTTTTAATCATAATTGGTGTCTAGTCTATGTTCAAGACTTTAAAAGCAACAAATTCTTGAAAATTTTCAACAAAACAAAAATAAAAAAAATTAGAAGAAACGATTTAGAAAGAATACAAAATAATATATATCGAACGATTAAATTTCTAGAAATTAATTAAGATGCTGAAAGTGCTGGCCATTTTCTTCCACATACCAACTACACACACAACCACACCCACACACACACATGCGTACACACAAACACATAAGACACACATATAGACACGCCATATTTTGTAAACTAATATCAAGCAAAGCTCAAAGAAAGCCGTGGAAAGGGCAGATGAAAATTCTAGAAACGCGCAAATGCAAACAAACTTTAAATAAAATAATGAAAACCTATTCGTACTTTAACTGTTGTGTTGTAATTATGCATAAAGCGTATTTATATTATGTGTATGTGTAATAGAAATACTAAAAACAAAAAACAAACAAAAATAAGAAGAACCGACAAAAGGAAAAAACAAATATATAAAATTGTAAAAAAACAACAAAAATTTGCAAGAAATTTCAAAGTTTAGACACCGGTAACAAATTGAAAGAAAAAACCTTGTTTCAATTAAGCGCCAAACAAGCTGCAAGGAATATAAAATCTTTAAGAAATTGTCTGCTTTCATTTTTAATTCTGTTTGCCATTAACACAATTATTGTTTAACTCTGTTCTTTATTCTTTGTACCAATGCCAAATCATTGAGTTGAATAACCAGCAGCTACATAATCGGAAAGGCATAGTAATGGCGAGTTTATTTATAAGATCTAGCGATTGGATACATTAAAAAAGAAAAACTTTATGTTCAAAAGTCCTCGTGGTCGCAAAGCATTAAAGAAAAACCAAACAATTGAAATAGATGCAAAAAACAAAAGCGAAACAGGAATGGAAAAATCCAAAAGAAGCAAACATGACGAATGAATACAAGTTTAATAAAAGCGATAAAACAAAAGCACAAGTTTTTTTTTATTTAAACAGAACTACGAAAAGGTGGAAGGGCTTCAATTTCGACTGAACTTCTTTCCATACCAGGCTGAACCTATCAGCTATCGGAGCTGCCATTTCTTCGATGAAAAAGAGTTGTAGGGGGAAAACCTTTGAATTTATCATTTTTATTCACTTAAAAACGTAGCTCCAAATACACTTATAATTTTACGGTGTTTAATATATGTATTATCTTTAAATGTACGTGTGTAAGTTAACGTACCCAATTCCATTGAGCTCTTATACGAGTTGTAAACAATCTTTGGTTTTCCAAAACGAAAACAATTTCAATCTTGGGCCTCCGCCTAATTGATTTCTAAGATGTACAATCTCAAGCGCCCCCGCCGCAATCCCATTCTTTGACACTCGCCTAAATGGAAAACCAATGTTTGCCCACACCCGGCTTCTCATAAACAATCTCACTCCCGGCTTTCTGCAGATCCTGCACTTTAGGCCTTTTACAGTTCTCTCTTTGGATGACGAAATCTAATACTCGGGATGGCGAAATCAATTGAAATGTTTATAGAAAAACGATTCCCGAAAGGGATCAACGATGCAAAGATCAGAAAGTTCAAATCAGTCTTGATCCAGCAGCGACACCGCAAAGTCTAGCTAAATATTAAGATCGCGCAATCCCTTGGCCCGGAATTCCTTTGTGACCCTCTACTTAAATCTATATCAGTGAAGTTCGAAGTAAAATAAAAACTTTTTAAAAACACAATCCGCTACCGCAGTTGTTTAATTGGCGCCCAACGTGGGGCGACGTTGTCTAAAAAGCACCGAATGATAAAAGTGTTGCGTCGTGCCGAAACCCGAAGGACAATTAATTAATGGAATAAATCCTTCAAAATTAAAAACGCGGAGTGACTGTGTGATATAGATAAAAAAAAGTGAGATAAAAAGGAAACAAACCGGAGCTTAGGGTGTGCAAAAACAAATACAAATACAAATACAAATACAAATACAAATACAAATACAAATACAACGCAAAATACAAATAAAACAAAAAGCTAATCAAGGCAATTCGTAAATACAAAAAAAACCAAAGAAACCCAAAGTTTTTAAAAAAACAAAACCAACAAAACCGACAAAACCAAAATACAAAGAAAGTGAAACGATCTGCCAAACTAAGAAGGACGACCCCTACCGGATATTTCGTGAGCAAGAGTTGTATTAATAAATATATAAGTTCAATTAGGATATATAAGATTATAAAAACTAACATATAAGAAAAATTAAAAGTGGATCAGCTAACTTTAGATTTTGAAAAACTAAAAATGATTAACTCTCAAGCAAGGACCGATCTCACAGCAGATCTGGTCAAACAATTGATAGCACTTCAAATTTCACAAGTACAAGAGCAAATTGTAAATTTAAAACAACAAATAGAAACTAAATCCGATCAGGTATCGGATTATCAGGCAGAAACAATAGACGAGACAATAAGAGACGACACCACATTGAAGGTAATAGAATCCCTACCAATTTTTAATGGTGGATTAAACCAATATGTAGGATGGAGGGAAGCTGCAGAAACTGCAGTGAAGTTATATAAGAAAGGAAGTAAGCAATATT